TTATACTAATATCACATGCTGACAAAATAATAACCATCGATGGTCGTTCATAAGAGTGCTTATAATGTAAGTAAGAAAAATTTAAATTATAATATGACAGGAAAATAAATCGCAACTATTGAATTTACATTGGATAGTACGCCCTGCTATTCAGAGTCGTCACTAGGACGTGACACCTCCCCCCTTAAAGGAGAAGTACGAAAGAGTCCATTATTGAGTGCTTCGTAAAGCATCAACTCTATTTAAGACTTCCTCTTCTTAAGCAAAACTTCACCATTGTCAATATCTTCGGCAAGACCATCAGGCATTGGGCAAGCCATCATAAAACGACGGTTATGTTTATTCGGTGATTTCGACAAACACATCTGATTAGATTGTTCCGCAATAGTTTCTCTGTATGATACGACAGGATCAGACTTTTTAATTAATATACAGGCGTGATCTTCTTYAAGATCTTTCAAACAGATTTCAAGGTTAAGTTCACCAGCACCAGCAATAATGTGCTCTCCAGATTCTTCGATGATATATTGTACCATAGGATCCGAATTAGCAAGACGTTTTAAACCTTTAACCAATTTTGGCAAATCTGCAGGATTCTTGGGTTCAACTGCTACACGTACAACAAGAGAAACCGAGAATTTCATAACTTTCATATTATKTGCATYYTTAAACGTAGTAATGGTACCAGTTTTGACCAAGAATTGATCAACACCGACAGGTCCACAAATGTTACTAGAAGGTACATCTTCAATGGCTTCAACGTAACGACCCATCATCAAGATAGTACGTTAAATAGCTTTCTCATACAAATCCTCCTTCTTTCCGGGTTAGAAGTTCGGTCCCATAATACGAGTCTTCATATCAGTACACACTTTACCAGGAAATACACGTCCAAAGGTATCTGCCATCGGATCCCACTTATCCTGTTAAAGTGATGTTTCGGTAATCCGTGGTATTAACCTTGAGGCCACTCGCCTGCGTGAAAGAGTTAAGAGCGAACATCCCAGTGTTTATTATAGATCGCAGTAGTAAATTGTTCGATCTATCTCAATTCGGCACTGGTAAATTGTTGTTTCACTATGGTCTTCTAACTGCAACATGCTGAACGTATGTGGTTATCTTTGTCGGCGTTAGTGTGGGGAGGTTGCAATCCCCTGTACCAAGGAGCGAAACGGTGATAATGTTAGCAGCTGCTCCTCCGCAATCATATCCAAGTAGTGCGGTCGTCGTACAGATGAATGCGGCCACGACGATGGTGATTTTGACGTACATATTTCTTTGAAACCAATGTTGATTCAATATAAATTTTAATAAACTATATTTATATGCGAACTAATAGAAACTCGTCTCAAGCTTGTTTAGCATATCATTGCATGATCGATGTTAGCGTTAAGCAACTCCAATGAGCCTTTCTAAAAAAAAACAAATAGTAACAAATTGTATTATGCTTCGTAACTCATTAAGACATTTCCGTAAAAGCTGCCGTAGTTTAGCACGGTTTAACTTTATTTTAATAACAAGAACGATTTTGTCGAAAGTAAATTTACAAGTTTGAATCGTTAATGAAGTTCGAGAAAAATTAGGTGCTAAACAAATTTATAAAGTTACGAGGTTAACCACTAGGTAATAATAAAAAATTTAAAAATTAATTTAGTAGATAGCTTGAGAGGAGTTGAGATTCCTTAAAGTCGAGATTGACTGACTATTGCGTACAAAAGTTATTTATATTTTTTTTTCAATTTGTTCGCTTGTGGATGCTGGTTATAAATCGTTTATAAGAAGCTATGCATCTCTCTATGTAGTGCCTTTTAGAGTAGAGTGGGTGATTCYYCCACTGACACTATCTTTAACTGTATATAAAAAGAAAAATTTACTCCAGCACCCATACTTAGTAACTATGTAGGTATAAAAACAATACCGAGT